AAATACTTATACTTGTACTTGGTGTACTTGTACTCGTCCTATCTCTGGTAAGAGATGGAGCAAGTACATTGCATGCTATTTCTCTAGCCTAAATAAGAAATATGAACCACCATAGTTATAATTTCATTTCATCAACATTATGCCTACTTTAGTTCTATCACAGGTGATATTTTTAACTGTAGATAAATCAGGAAAACATTTTTTGATCATATCGATTGTACAACCATGTGAGATATAACTATGAGAATGTTTAACAGTATGAAATACTAATGCACCTTCAACAGCACATAATTTATTAAGTTCAGTGGTTGTTATGTTAAATGCAGTATCAATTCTATTTGCTAAAATATATATAGAAAAATCTTCAGCAGTACAATTAATAGCGTTAATTCTTACATGGAGTCGCTTCAATAGATTTTGTACGATCTTGATGTTTCTTTGTTTGAATATGATGATTGATATCTCCAACTCCACTGTTTTGAATAGAAAATTGTACATTGCAAGTAATGCATACGGCTTTTGTTATATCGGTTTTACATTCACGTAAAAATGTAGAAAAATAAGAGTTGGACAACCATTCTTTCTTGAATCTTGATTGATAACGTTTATTAGCTCTTGATGTTAAAGGTGATGATACTTTAGCAACTTTTGTATTTGAAACATAAGTATTTGATGATGATGATGAAGAAACATTTGATACCTCCATAATTTCGTCTTCCGATGAAGACATGGTATAAGAAAACAACTGGTAAATTTATAAAGTTATTTTGATCAAGAGAGTTTTGTTTTATTTCGAAAGAAATATAAAAAGTAAAGTATTTTCTTATTCGTTAAGATGTCCATCAAATACTGATTATATTCTCTTTTTTTTTCTTAAAGTTTCTATTAGCTAAAGGTGTCACTGACTGTCAACTATACAAAAACAAAAATCAGGAGAAATTGATAAAAATCAGAAGAAAATGACAAAAATCAGCTCCTGAAATCAGGAGATTTTCGATCAGAGAAAATCGAAAAAACCAGGAGACTCCTGACCAAATCAGGAGGTTTGGCATAGCTGTAGAAGATGGATATTGTATGGAAAGCTAACTAGAAAACTGACCTAGTGATAAAGTGTTAGGTGGTTTATGAAATCTAACATTCTTCTCGGAATCATTTATGTTGAGAATTAAAACGTGTGGCCATTGAATCATTTTAATATGACGAATAGTCATCTTACCGCATGATGCGCATGGTAAATCTGATGTCACTGAAGCAAAATATGAATGAAGATCATTTTCCAATTGTAAACCAGCACGAGAAGCATTAATTGGAATATATATAATTAAATCTCTTATATTCATGGTACATTTACACGATTTGCAAGAATAAGTTTTATCAACGGTGAGATGGCAAGGTAAAAACGACACAAGTATCTGTTCGAGAATATATGTTGAGCGTTGCAAAAGGCCATTTATACCGTAGATTGGTAAGGAGAATGGAATTATTGGTACATGAGTTTTATGAATGTCATGTTTTGTTGAACTTAACCACCCTTCAATAAATGCTATAACGATGTCAAGTGACGAAGGACTGTTGGATAATTTTGATGATAATAGAGAACGATAAAAATCAAAGTTATTTCTAGCTGAAAGAATTAATCCAGCTGCAATGTTTAACCAATCTAGTGTTAATGTTGACAATTTTAGATCAGCATTGATATCATTTCTCGATATCAAAAGACATGAAATAAGATCAAAAAAATTCGTTTTTCAGAACATTTCGCATAATGACCATTACCTCTTATACACCGTATTTCTCGTCAATGTTCTACAATCGGTTTGAGCCGACGATTATTCAGTATTATAGACGGATTACTTTTGTCATTGTTTTGAGATGATGAGCAATATATAATTAAGATCCTTGTAAATTCATCAATCAATGTTAACATATCAGGAATTAATATCGAAAGAAGAACATGAAGTCGAGTATGAACAGGATTACCTTTAAAAATCAAAAAATAAATAAAGTGCTTAAATACTTGTCATATTCGATGGTAATTTTATATAAACTTAACAAAATACTTAGATGAATCAACTAACCAATTTGAGTAGCAAATATTTTGGGTTCTTATCGAAATGTTATCAGACTTTATTTAATTCGAAAAAATTCTAACGGATAATTTTCCTTCAGATACGATGTTCATCAGTTTGTAAAAACAAGATCAAAAACTATCCATGTATTGTAGCACGTTGTTGTCGATAATAGCAAGTAACGCTCGTCGAGCAGACTCGCTAGACTCTCGACTGATTACGACTGGCGTACCTCCAAAAAACATCTTAGAGACGCACTCTTTTGACTCCCTACATCATAGTTTCTTGAATGATTTCTCAATTTTAAGCATTATGTCCAATGACTCGACGAATCCAACTAAAAACTTTCCGGAATCATGCACGAGCACACCCATGAACAGTGTTATATCCGCACCGGC